ATGATGATGATGATGATGATGATGATGATGATGATACTGCTGCTGCTGCTGCTGATGATGGTGGTGGTGGTGGTGGTGGTGGTGGTGGTGTGGTGGTGGTGGTGGTAATGATGATGATGATGATCATTTTGATGATCATGATGATGAATGTCATGAGGGGGACAGTAGGAGGAGGAGGAGGAGGAGGAGGAGGAGGAGGAGGAGGAGGAGGATTCGGAACCATTTCAAAGCATTATCCAGGGAACAACTTTGGGAGAAGCCCCCACTCGCTGCGGCTCAAATACTCCCTGCGCTCGGAAGTGATACGATCTGGGGCACACCTCAGCGTGAGGGGCCTCCTCAATGTGGAAAGGCCAGAGCAACTGCATGGTTGTCAAATCCAAACATCTGATCTCTTGCGAAAGATCATGTTATATGGTTGCTATCTACCCATCCCCCTGTAAGATGCACTGACGTCTGTGGGTGGGGTGGCCGCAGGAGGTCCCCCGAGGAGATGGGCACAAGATGATGAGAGTCCGTGCGAAGCCCGGCGAGGCGGTTGGCCTGGTCCTTGTTGCACGAGCCGGAACAGCGGCGACAATGCGGACCGGTGTCGGTCACGCAGTGCCGAGAGGCGAACGGAGCTCAGAAGAGAAAAAGGTACCCATACCTCTACCCTTTGGCCGATTTCCCCTTTCTGGGCCTCCTGGGCGGCCCTCGTCGCCACCGCTGGATTCGCCTTGGAATTCTGGTCAGAACACGCCCCGGGACAGGTCCGGGGAGTAGCGGTATCAGTACCTTTTGCTCTCCCCAGGAGCAGCAGCGGCGGCAGCAGGCGGAGGGGGAGGAGGAGGAGCCTCATCGATGTCATCGCCAGGAGCAGGATTCTCTTTTTCAGCCCTCTGCTGGAGCCGGTCGGCTGCGTCGGATTGAAGATTGACCTCCTTCATAGTTTCTTGACAACACTGGCTTTGTATGCAACATCGTTGGTATTGTGTCGCTGAGACACTGGGACCCGATACTGCTTGGCACGTTCACTTGCTAACTCATCCGCCACCAAGTTGCCCCCCGCCATCCAACCAGACAGACCCCTCCTTAATACCTGCTCAGGAAAGAGATGAGATAGGGGCTTGCAGCACAACTAAGTCTTCAAACTTCCTGGCACTCATATGAGTATCTATAGCACGCTAAAGATCGGAGAGCTCGCCGTGCGGAGAGCTCCACCTTTATTTGCATCGTTCAAACCCGTAGTCAGCCACTGCTCCTCCGAAACTGGCGGGTCGATTCTCATCCCTTACTCGGGATGAGGCCGCGATGCCAAAAGCAAGTCCACTCTTCACCCGGCGCCAATGCCTGCGCTGTGAGAGAGTCGGACTGCGTGTAAATATCATGGCCGCAATTCGCAGAACATAGCCGATGGCGGCGCATCGGGGTCTTTGGATCAAGCCTACATCTCGGGCACAGGTTGTGCTTAGCTAGTCCTGTCTCTATCTTCCTTGTCTGCAGCCATGCCCCCCTCAACAGCAATGCTCAACAAAAGTTCTGCCGCCTGCCTGCCTCCCCGTGGTGATTCCTGCAGCTGCTTCAGCAAAAACCTTAGGCTGACATTATCGGCTCAGTCCTCAAGCCCTGCGCCATTGTAGTGTTCAGATGCCGCCGTCCACTGCTGAGTGCGCGGTGCTTCTACGAATTCTGATACCAGTCCTCGTGTCTGATCCAGCGCGACCAGCTGATCATTGTTGAAGCTTAAATCGAAATCAGGAGTGCCATCATGCATAAGCCCATGCCACATCTAGAAGGACGGGCTCCATCTAAGAATAGCTGATGGATGATGGCCGAGATGGAGCCCCTGATGTGCTGGGTGCGATTTTCAACACTAGCGTTCTTCAGATGGTTCTATGTAGAGTAGAGGCCATGCTCGGCGATCTCCCGCTCTGCAATCTGGGAGGGGAATCGGTGCATGAAGCCACTGCCTTAACAGCTAGCTGGTCATTGTATCCCTGGATCTTGTCCTGGCGTCCAAAGATCGAGAAGGGTAGTAATGCACCGATCCCGTTTATTGACCGCCGCGACCGCTGCCAGATGACGTCGAAGCCCAAGAAGACGAGATCCAAAAGCTCCGTAAACCTAAGCTCCGTAAAAAAAAACCCGCTTGTGGACCCGCTAGCTCCACCCGCTTGGTGACCACGTGCCGTTTCGAGGCATGAGCGAAACGTCGAAGTGTGTGATTCTGCTGAACGGCTTTGACGACCCGCTGACGACGAATGCTTGGAGCCACGCGCTTACCTGCACCCGTGTCCACCCCCAGGTAGGCTGACTCGAGTAATGGAGCGAGCGTGATACCTTGAGCTCGCAATCAGTTGACCACCCTCTTGGCAATCTGATTGTCCAAATATCAGCCAGCGTTGACTCCAAATATATAGGAGGACAGGAGGAGGATGAGAGGAGGATGGGAGGAGAACGAATGGAGGATGGGATCAGGACGGGAGGAGAACGGGAAGAGCAAAATCAAGCAAGCGCAAGCAAGCAAGCGGAAGCAAGCAAGCGCAAGCGAGTAATAACAAGCAAGCCAGAGGCAGCGATCAAATGCAAGCAAGCAAGGGCAAGCAAGAGCAAGCAAGCGAGAGCAAGCACGCGAGAGCAATCAAGCAAGTGCCATTTGAAAAACGGGGGGTGCCATTGGCAAAAGGGGGGGGTGCCATTGGGAAAAGGGAGGGTGCTAAAGACCAATTACTGATGATGAGCTAAGACTCCTATAGGGCAAGCATATTTGGAGAACATCGTATAACACTCTTGGTGGCCACAGAGAGCGACTGCTCCCCAAACTTCTCGTCTAGCTCGACAGTCCTGCCGAAGAGGCCGTCCCCGGCTCTGCGCTGAGATCCGTTGAGGTAGAGGTAGAGGTCATCCAGCCATATGCGCTCCCCCATTCCTGCTATCCGGATCCTCTGCAATCTGAAAAACGTCAAGCACCGGCCAACACCCGGGATGACATTCTGCGTGCACTGGAAGCCTTCGGAGTGCGCACCTAACTGCGGGAGGATGCGATCGGCTAACAGAAAGCTGGATCTCCAATACCAAGATGACGGGAGGAGCACCGAGACCTTAGAGCAGAGATAATCAGCTTATCCCAACGAACATGATCGTAAACGTCTTTGAAATCTGATGATGATGGTGATTGGAGTAGCAGTAGCGAGGACTTTCCCCACAAAAGAAATTCAAAAACAACGTTGAGCACTTGGTAGATGTTCTGCCTGAAGAATTGACTCCCAGCTCGCAAGCCGCAGCCATCATCTCAGAGCGTTGACGTTGGTTCTGCGAGATGTCGAAGGTGACCCAACCCGACTTCGCAGTTACTCGTGGGACCGAAATCCAAAAATTAGCGGGGAGGCCCCTTCGTCGTGCAATGTTGAAGCGTAGGATGTGGTACTCGGTGCAAACCGAGGTTGACTGTCTGAAAACTTGGCCACGGCGCCCCGCAGCGTGAGCAGGGCCGTCCCGTCTGCCGCATTGTCTCCGTCGAAAGAGCGCCAGCAATGAAAAGCTCAAGGAGCTTCTTGTTGGCGAAGGAGAGCGTGTCTACAAACACCACGTTGCATGAATTGGTGGAGGAAATCCGGGAAGGGTCACGGGTACCGCAATTCAAAGGCCTGCGCGGTAGCCGCAGGCGCCAGGATGCATTTAGGAGTCTGGTCGACCCAACTCCTTTCGAGTCGTCGAGAGTTTGGTGGAGTGCATACTCCGAGAAAAGAGAACGAAAACCTCGCCGCATAAGCCCCCGAACCCGCAGAGCCCAAACAGCAACATTGACCATCATGCCCAGGCCCAGTGCCAGCAATCATGCCCAGACCTCCGCTTTAAGCGGAGGCCAGCAATCGTGCCCAGACACGCAGGCCAGCAATCAAGTGTGATGCCATGAGGGTAGTCCTAGGGCCCAGGGACCGCTGCGAACCGTGAGCTCGGCACTCACTTCTCGCTCTCGTGCTTTGTGCAGCGCAAGGGCCCCGGTTCCGGATGCCACTTTCCGCAAAGTAGCTCTGTAGACGCTGCGGTCTGGCTAAGACCCGCAGCCACGGCCGTCTGGATCGGCGTTGGGGGGTAAGGCGTTGGCGCGCCCGCCCGCGGCCCCCAGCTTGCGCCAGAATCCGTCCACCCCGTTGCCAGGGGTGGCCCCGCCTTTGAAATCTAGAACTCCAGAACCGTACGCAATCCGTTATCTGGCTGCTATCTCAGCGTCGAGCGCTCGCATGGATGCTCCCACCAAGGGAGAGTTGCCTTCTACAGCTGCGCCCCACTCCCGAGTGGTTTCCCGGGACCATTGTTCGGAATGCGAATCCCGAGCCAAGCTCCAGAGCTTGCAAAACATCGGTTGTACACAAATCATGCAGTCCCAAGAAGATGTTCTAGGTAGAAGGCGTCATCATACCACCAGCACCTGCCACGGTCAAGTGACCGAACTCTCGTTCTCACTGTAGATGTCTGCAGGCTTCTTAGGCGCGTCGTCGCACTCGATTGGCGTGAGTCTATCAATTCCGAGACCTGCCCGAGTTTTCATCTTCTTGCCAGTTGCTCGCAATTCATCTGCGGAAGCGGGGGCGAGTTGCTCGTCCTAGGCGGCCGACTTGACGCTGTTAAACGCATCTGTGACGGAGTCGATGTCGAAAGGCTGCGGGGGCCAGGTCGAATGACTCGCGCGCAATTCAATTTTGAAGCTCACGAAGAGAGGCTTCAACGGGCCTGCGCCTCGCTCGCTGGGTCGTCTTGCCAGCTTGTGCATGGAGCTCCCCTGGCGTGCGCATGCCGATCGTGCTGATGTGTGTGTGTGTGTCTGCTGCATCCACGGCGCCCATGAAAACTGGTGTTTCCCAGGAACGATAGCTGTCGAAGCCCCATCGGTAACGTCGCGCCCTAGTATGCGTGCTACTTCAGTGAGATGCTCCATCTGCTGTGCTCCGTTCTGCTTCTCTCGGTGTCGGCAGCAGTGCACAAGTGCCCCGTGGAGCCGTGCCCACCGCGTCGCCACCCGATTGGGCAGTGGAGCATCTCGAAGGTGTTCTGCTTTATGAGCGAAATGCACTACCAGCTGCGGGAGAAGGAGGATGAGGAGGAGGAGGGGGAGGAGGAGGAGGAGGAGGAGAGGAGGAGGAGGAGGAGGAGGAGGAGGAGGAGGAGGCGAGGAGGTGGAGGAGGAGGGAGGAGGGGATGAGGAGGAGGGGGAGAAGAGGATAATGGTGACGGGGGAAAAGAAGAGAGGGGAAGACGGGGGGGAGCCCTATCCCTGCGTATTTTCGGGCCCATGGCCCAAGCGGCGAGAAAACGCGCGAAGCGCGGCGAGGGCCCTGATGGCTCGCAGCGCTGTGCAGTTCCTGCTGCTGCTGCTGCTGCTGCTGCTGCTGTTCGTCCTCGTCCTCCTCCCTCCTCCCTCCTCCCTCCCTCCTCCCTCCCTCCTCCCTCCTCCCTCCCTCCCTCTCCTCCTCCTCTCCTCCTCCTCCTCCTCCTCCTCCTCCTCCCTCCTCCTCCTCCTCCTCCTCATCCTGCTCCTCCTCTCCCCCTCCCTCCTCCTCCTCCTCCTCCTCCTCCTCCTCCTCCTCCTCCTCCTCCTCCTCCTCCTCCTCCTCCTCCCTCCGCCTCTTCCGGCGGCCGCGGCGACGACGGCGGCGACCGCGACGGTGACCGCGACGGCGGCAGCCTCGACGACAGACGCCGGCGCCGACGCCTCCGCCGATCACGGTGCCCGCGGCCCGCCGCGCGCCCAGTCGGAACTCCGCATGGACAGCATGGAGGTGGCGGCCGCCGCCAACCTGCCGCGGCTGGAGTCCTTCGAGGCCTCGTGCTCGTCATCGTCATGTCGTTCTCGTCCTCGTCCTCCTCGTCCTCGTCCCCGTCCTGCTCCTCGCGCCCCCCCCCCGTCCTCTTCGTCTTCCTTTCGTTCTCGTCCTCGCCTTCCTCCACCCGTTTCCCGCCGGAGCCCTTTCGCCCACGCCGAGCGCAGGGGGGCAGCAGTAGGAGTGGAGAGGGCCCCCCTCCAGACCCCTGGCGGTTCGCAAGAATCGCACAGGAGGTGTTTGCAGCAGTCTTCAGTCTCGGGAGGTTGTTTCGGGGTCCTGGGGCCGTTACACATCGGCTCAGCACGAAGTGCCAGCCCCAGCGAAGGGGTCGAGAGATCGCAGGAGGAGTGGAGAGGACCCCCCCAAGACCCCTGGGGGCTCGCATGAATCGCACAGGAGGTGTTTGCAGCAGTCTTCAGTCTCGGGGAGGTTATTTCAGGGTCCTGGGGACGTGACACGTAGGCTCAGGATGAAGTGCCAGCCCCAGCGAAGGGGTCGAGAGATCTTGGGGCTGGCGGCTCAAATGAATCGAGTCGTTGGAGATCTGGGCATAGACTGCGAGCGTAGAAGGAAGAGCAGGCACAAGAGGGTACAGGGACACCAGTCGGCAGAACTCATGGTATACAATTAGTTGAAAAGGGGCATCAGCCCCTTGCCCTTGCTCGTGCCCCTTCCCTCCACCAGCTTTGCACTGCTGCCGTTGTTTAAGCTTGCCAACTTGCCCCTGAGTAGTTCTCCATGCCCTGGCTGGCGTTGGTTCGGTCGATTCTTCTGCATATTCTTGTCGTCGCCTCGTTACGTTTTCGGGCCCTTCGGCGGTCCCCTTTCCTCGCTCTCTGCGGCCTGTCTTTTCAAGGGGGTGCGGGCTTGACGCCAATCCACGTCCAGATAAATATATCTCCCCCTCCCTCATCCTCCCCTCCCCCTGCCCTTCCCCCCCTCCCCCTGTCCCTCCTCCCGCTCCCCCCCCCCCCTGTTGTCCTCCTCTTCCCCCCCCGCCCCCCCTCAAAAATCGCTCCCCGACCTCCGCAGGTGTGCGTCTGGACCAGAACTTCCAAGATAATCCAGCCGTGGCGACGAGAAGGCTCCCGGAGGCTCGAAAAGGATCAAACCGAACCAACAATTGTGATGCTTGACGCATCGAGTTTTAAAAAGGAAGGGGAGGAGGAGGAGGAGGAGGAGGAGGAGGAGGAGGAGGAGGAGGAGGAGGAGGAGGAGGAGGAGGAGGAAGAAGAGGAGGAGGGGGAAGGGGGAGGACGGGGTGGAGGAGAAGGAGAGGAGGCGGAGGAGGAGGTGGAGGAGGAAGAGGATGAGGTGGTGGAGGAGGGGTAATCCAGTTCGTCATGTTGGACACGGCGGCCTTCGTGCGGCAACTTGCGCCCACGGGGGAGCGCCTCGCGCTCTGCGGCCGCCTGGCGGTTGCAGCAGCGCCCCTGGGCTGCGCACTGCAGCAGCGCGGGCGCGGCCCTCACGGCCGCGCAGGCCCTGCCTTGGAGGGCGGCCGCCCCGCGCGCTGGCGCCGCCACAGCCGCCAGGAGGGGCCGGAGCGCCGCTGGGCGCAGCTCCAGGCGGAGTCGAGAGCCTTGCTCCAAGTGTTTTCGCCTGGATTCGGGCCCCAGGAGGCGTTTTCGCTGGGATTCGGGCCCCAGGACCATCGCAGATCGGTCCGGCTTGAAAAATGCAGCTGAAAGGGATCCGGTCGTGATTTTTCGCGACGTTGCATTTTTTCACGCTGCGTCGGATCTCAGGGGGCGCCGCGCACGGTGCTGAGCGCCCAGCCGCAGGCCAGAGGGCGGGCCACTGACACTGCTGGAGCGGCGCGCACGATCTCCGCACGGCGCGCAGGCCTTGCCGAGTTCGTGCTCGCTAACCGCTAAAGGTCTTCAGTTTTGGTCCCCACTCACCTTCTCTCGGCGGTGAATAGGACTGGTCCTAAGTCCTCCTCCTTGTTCCTCTTCCTTCTTCTCCTCCTCCTCCCCCTTCTCCTTCACCTCCTCCTCCTCCTCCTCCTCCTCCTCCTCCTCCTCCTCCTCCTCTTTGTTTTCACTGAGGAATGACACGATGCAGACGTAGTAGTAGTAGTAGTAGTAGTAGTAGTAGTAGTAGTAGTAGTAGTAGTAGTAGTAGTAGTAGTAGTAGTAGTAGTAGTAGTAGTAGTAGTAATAGTAGTAGTCGTCGTCGTCGTCGTCGTCGTCGTCGTCGTCGTCGTCGTCGTCGTCGTCGTCGTCGTCGTCGTCGTCGTCGCAAGCGTAGTCTTAGCCGTCGTCGTCGTTGTTGTGCGGCGGGTGCCGTGAAAAAAACAAAAAAAGTTACCTCCTATTGGTGGGATCCCATTTCTTCAATAAGGCCGCTGGAAAAATACATAAATTACCCCCTGTTGGGGGGGTTCTAAAGATCTTTCAGGGTTAGAGCGTTTGACGCGTGTGCGGAGCTACACTGTCTCGATGCCACACCTTCCTGTGGCTCTGCTGCGTGCATGCCCGGAACGCACACCGCTCGAGGCGGCGGAGAGCTTGAGAGGTTCGTCCAACAAACAGCTCCCCCAGACCCCCGACGTCGTGATTTTTTCAACGTCGACCCCAAAAGGTCTGGACCCATTCCAATGGAGCGGTTTCTCATCCCGAGTCGTTTTTGGACGGTCCCGAGGCCAGGTGAGGCCCCCAGAGGCCGAACATGACCTCCCGCCAAGATGTTTTCATGACTCGATGGGGTCTGGGCCGCACGGCGCGCGGGCCTAGCCGACGCCGCGCGCCGGGGCGGCGCGGCGGCGCAGCACGGGCCGGCGGCGGGTCGCCGACGGAGCGGCGCCGCACGGGCTGCTGCGCGGGCTTCCGCGCGTGGCCCCGTACTGGCGGCGCTCCGCGAGGAGCGCGTGGGCTGCTGGTGGGCGGAGCGGCGGAGCCCGCGGCCGGGCCGTGCCCTCGTCCCTCGTGTCGGCTCTGGTCCCTCTGGGGGCGGCCTCCTCCTCCTCCCTCTGCCTCCTCCTCCTCCTCCTCCTCCTCCGCCTCCTCCTCCGCCTCCGCCTTCGCCTCCGCCTTCGCTTCCGCCCCCGCGTCCGCCTCCTCCTTCTCCTCCTCCTCCTCCTCCTCCGCCTCCGCCTCCGTCTCCGCCTCCGCCTCCTCCTTCACCTCTTCCTCCTCCTCCTCCTCCTCCTCAGCCTCCGCCTCCGCCTCCTCATCCTCCCCCTCCATCCCTGTCGCACCCCGAGGCCAGTTTTTAGGGCGGGCCGGGCGTTTCGCCTGAGACTTCCTCACCATTTATGATTCTGAAGCTCAAAAAGTGGCAGCAATTTCACGGATTGAGGGCGGGTAGTTTTCAAAATGTGGCTCTCGCCTTAGCGTCGCGCACAGTCGTTTTAAACATTTGCAAGGATTTCATGGATTTAGGGCGGGTGGTTTTCAAAATGTGGCTCTCGCGTTAGCGCCGCGCGCATTCGTCTTCGACACTTGCAAGAGTTTCACGGATTGATTGCGGGTAGTCTTCAAAATGTGGTTCTCGCTTTAGCGCCGCGCACATTCGTTTTCAACATTTGCAAGAGTTTCACGGGTTGAGGGCGGGTGGTTTTCAACATGTGGCTCTCGCATTAGCGCCGCGCACATTCGTTTTAAACATTTGCAAGAGTTTCACGTGTTGAGGGTGGGTGGTGTTCAAAATGTGGCACTCGCGTTAGCGCCGCGCACATTCGTTTAAAATATTTGCAAGGGTTTTACGGATTGAGGGCGGATGGTTTTCAAAATGTGGCTCTCGCGTTAGCGCCGCGCGCATTCGTTTTCAACATTTGCAAGAGTTTCACGGGTAGAGGGCGGTTCCTTTTCAAAATGTGGCTCTCGCCTCAGCGTCGCGCACATTCGTTTTAAGTTTTTGCAAGAGTTTCACGGAATGAGGGCGGGTGGTTTTCAACATGTGGTTCTCGCCTTAGCGCTGCGCGCATTCATTTTAAACATTTTCAAGAAATTTCACGGATCGAGGGCGGTTCCTTTTCAAAATGTGGCTGTCGCATTAGCGCCGCGCACAGTCGTTTTAAACATGTGCAAGGGTTTCATGGATTTAAGGCGGGTCGGTTTCACAATGTGATTCTCACCTTAGCGCCGCGCACATTCGGTTTAAACATTTGCAAGAGTTTCACGGATTGAGGGCGGTTCATTTTCAACATGTGGTCCTCGCCTTGGTGCCGCGCACATTCGTTTTCAACATTTGCAAGAGTTTCACGGGTTGAGGGCGGGTGGTTTTCAAAATGTGGCTCTCGCGTTAGCGCCGCGCACATTCGTTTTTAACATTTGCAAGAGTTTCACGGGTAGAGGGCGGTTCCTTTTCAAAATGTGGCTCTCGCCTCAGCGCCACGCACATTCGTTTTAAGTTCTTGCAAGAGTTTCACGAAATGAGGGCGGGTGGTTTTCAACATGTGGTTCTCGCCTTAGCGCTGCGCACATTCATTTTACATACTTTCAACGAATTTCACGGATCGAGGGCGGTTCCTTTTCAAAATCTGGCTCTCGCATCAGCGCCGCGCACAGTCGTTTTAAACTTCTGCGAGAGTTTGACGGAATGAGGGCGGGTGGTTTTCAAAATGTGGCACTCGCCTTAGCGCCGCGCGCATTCGTTTGAAACATCTGCAAGAGTTTCACGGGCGGGTAGAGGGTGGGTGGTTTTCAAAATGTGGTTCTCGCCTTAGTGCCGCGCACATTTGGGTTAAACTTTTGCAAGAGTTTCACGGATCGAGGGCGGCTCCTTTTTCACAATGTGGCTCTCGCCTTAGCGCAGCGCAGGATTCAAGATTCAGGACTATGCGGGCGCAACAGTTATGTTGATTGGCCGTGTCGAAGTCTCAAAAATGGCGTTCTGGCACGGTTCTGGATCGTCAGTCGGGTTGATACGTGGTGTTGAAATCCAGAGAACAATATTTTGGCACGCTTCAGGATCTTCAAATTGTTGTCTTCCAACGAGGCAGTTCCCTCAATGGAAATGAACTGTTGTAGGGGCCTATGAAGAGGGACCTT